GACCCAGCTGCTGCCGCCTCCTCTGAGACACTTCCTGAAGCTGAAGTGTCCATCTGCGGACTCCGCAGCACGCATGAGAACGACCACATTCCCAGAATCAGCAGCCGAGCAAACCCTTTGATCTTTGGACCCATTTCACGTTCTGCGCATGAGAGTTGATAGCATGCATGCATGTCCTTGTTCATTTCACTGTGAGCCCCCATGCCACTTGCTACATGTTTTTGAACCTTTCTTTCATTTCAGGGTGCACCGATTACGGCTTTTTGTGTGTGTGTGTCACTTCCTGTCTCCAAGGAAAAAACCACAGAAGTCTAATTCACAATAGAGGTCTGACTAATCACTGCGATACCTTGTGCAGTCAGCAGGGGGCTGGAGCCAGGTGGGGAGTCTCCGGCCAACGAAGACACCACCTGCGTGTTTTCCTTTAATTTTTAAAATAAATCAAGTGATGTACTGATTTATCTCTTGCGAGCATGGATCTAAGTGTGTGTGCGCACGCCTTGGATTCAAAGGCTCCGCAACTACTGCCACACGGTTATAGTTTTCACGCAGTTTCGCAGGGGGCTGCAAGACCATCACTGGAACTGTGGCCAACGAAGACTTCCAGTGGCCGGTGTGGAAGCGCTTGCTTGAATAGGGAAATCACGGATTCTAACTTTCTGGTTTGGTTCCACAGTGGAACCATACTGTGGGAGACCTGACACCTCTCTGCCCGCAATGTCTAGATGGACCTTGTTCCGCTTCTCGTTGAGGCTTCTTTCCCACTGAGGTTTCGAGGGCACCTGTGCATTGCTTGCACTTGCTTCAGGCTTTGCTCAGTGACGAAATGTCCTGTAAGACAATATCAGTTTAATCTGTGTATATATACAATATATAACGGTTAGAACAAAACTCTTAGCTTTCTTCCAGTCACTGGTCCTCCGAGAATAGTCCCCAGACAAGTCTCTTCAGGCATATTTTTGGAGGTCGGTAGGTGTCGGAGAATTGCAACATTCCTGTGGTTGATGCTATTCCTGGCTTCGACCCTTTGGCTTCATGCCTGCTGGCCTTGGGGCAAGCAGATCCTCTTTTGCAGTATACTCCCTAATTGGCTCGCAAAGATTGCCTGTGGCCATCCCCTCTTATGCGTTTCCCCGAGTTGTTCAACTAGATTGTACAATTGTACAAGTAGCTGAGCGTGATCTACAAAATACCAAACAAAACACGACAATTGCTCCTCTCCACAGCTTTGGCAACAGGCGCCAAGGAGTACTTCCTGGCAGTGTCAGGGTTCAGCTGGTGTCCTCAGACAGAAACAAATCAGAAGAACTCGACGACTTTCCCATCTGGTCTGCCCAGGTGTGAACCTCAGTAGCTCTGCGCATTGCACACTTAAAGAATATAAAGAGAAGAGTTTTGCAATACCAAACAACAATCTGAGGAGGGCTCAAAGCACAACTGATTTGGCACCCTTCTTCAGGCAGTGTCGAATGGTTGGCATAGCCTGCCATCTCTGCATCGTAGGATGAAACTGCTACTCTCTTCCATTCTTCCAAGTTCAATATGACAATCTTAATATATACCGTGTATATAAATATAATATAGGAACAATCCTCACTCAAGTAGAAAAAAACGGAATGTCTCCTCAAGTAGAAAAAACGGAATGGTTTCAACAAAAAGTGGAAGCGGCCCCCCGAATATCAAGCTCCATGGAATCCAGAGTGAGGTTTTGGAAGGTGATGTGTTTCACAATTCAATTGATCAATAAACCAAACGAGGCTTGCAAAACAAACAAAATTAGAAATAGCAGACCCCCCAATTAGTTAAACTATCAACCAAAACCAAACGACGGTGTCAAAAAAATGAGGTTAGTATCAGGGGGGAGTTTAGAGGATATTGCAAGCGCCCTGATACGCAATCTATGGGAATCTATGGAACCTGACAGTTGGAACCCACAAGTAGCGGTTTTAAATGGCGCAGTAACCAATGTGTTTTTGGAGAGCGAGTGTGCTTGGGAGAGCACACACTAGTTCAGGCGAAACGCATATTTGTCTATCTTCCTGTGCCCCATCTCTGTGTGCAATGTCAATGACAGAAGCTATTGGCTCTTCATCTGCCACTATCAATGTGTAACGCCAATGATAAGCGTTATCAGTGTGACTCTTCTTTGTCCAATATCTATAACTGCTTGGTCATTTGTACTCACTTGTTCTCAACATCGGTGAACGCTGTTGGGCTTTGAACCTTGAAAAGTGATTGATATCAAATATATGTATATATATATATACGCAGACTTGAGCTTCAACACTCTCCCCTCAGCAACCTGCTAGTGTTCCAATAGATTTTTGACATGATATGATTGACTTGTTATATTCTTCCATCTATGCTTTGATATCTTTGGTGTCCTATCTCCTCACCAAGCTCTTCTCTTCTTAGTCGTAGTCCAAACAGGCTTAGAAAAACAACGGATTACGTAGAAACATTGCCCGTTGAATAGCTTTATGTATATGTTCATAGCCAATATTTCATTATGAATTTGGTTTTGGCTGGCATCTTGCCCAAACCAAGAGAAACAAGAACATTACAAAACAACCAAAAATCTATATACAATGCGTATGTATCTATATATATATGTAAATATAACTGTTTGCTTTGATACAACTCAATCAAACTTCGTGCGCCTAGTCTAGCTCCTTACCTTCTTTGAAAGAGCTAAGCCAACCAAAACAACTTGACCAAAACAAAAGCCTTGTGAAGATTGAAGCAGCCTTCCGTTTTGGCGCTGAATGTCAAGGCAAGTTTGAACGTGTAGAATTTTTTAAGCTAACTATACAACTACAACCTGCTGGAACAATAGAAACACCTATTGACAATTGAGACAGGGCCGCACCGAAGGTGCTGAGGCGCTTTCTCGGTTTGCGTAAACGGCTAGTATTTGCTAGATCGCTCATTGAGTTTTAGCTTGGGGGGGTTGCTTTTTGTTTCAGAATGTCTTCCTTTCGAGGTTTTTAAAAAATCGGTGAAAACGAGCTATTCATTGGCTACGTTAGGCTGCCCGAGTGAGAGTGCATTATTGACATCGCGGGTGCTTGCCCCTGTGGCCTTCCCGAAAGAGAAACGAGAAAACTATTGATCAAAGGAAGTTTAGAGTGCAAAAATTCCGTGTTACGGACATTCAACAGCTGTTCAATGCACCACTCATCATACACCACTCATATAATACACCACTCATATCATACACCACTCATCATACACCGCTCATCATACACCACTCATCATGCACCACTCATCATACACCACTCATATCAGGACTCATATCATACACCACTCATATCAGGACTCATATCATACACCACTCATATCATACACCACTCATCATGCACCACTCATCATGCACCACTCCTCATCCACCACTCATCATACACCACTCATCAGACACCACCCATCATACACCACTCATCATACACCACTCATCATCCAGTTAGCTCCAGTTTCAAGGGCTCTGGCTCCAGTAAGCTCTAGTTGCAAGAGCTCTAGCTCCGGGTAGCTCTAGCTTCTCTAGCTTCAATAGCTCTAGCTCCAGTTTACGTGGCAGGCGCAGCACCCTGTGAACCTCCACGCGCAGATTTCGTGGCAGGCACAGCACTTTGTGAACCTCCATGTGCAGAGTTCGTGGCAGGCACAGCACTGTGTGAACTTTGAGGTGCAGATTTCGTGGCAGGCACAACACAAACTGCGTTTTCGAGAGATAGCGGACGCACGAAATGCTGCGTTTTTCAATAGAAAGGGTGGCTCCGAAGCTGGCAAGTCAAGCTTTGCGGAACGACGTGTGCGAGACGGTCTCGGGTCATGCATGCTCGGGTCATCCTCGGATCATTCTCGGATCATGATCGGAATCGTCCCTCACTTGTGATTAGAGTTTTCAGTTGTTTTTTGAAGCGCAGATATCGTGGCAGGCACAGCACTTTGCGAACCTCCACGCGCAGCTTTCGTGGCAGGCGCAGCACTTTGTGAGCCTCCACGCGCAGATTTCGTGGCAGGCACAGCACTTTGCGAACCTTCACGCGCAGAGTTCGTGGCACAAAGTGCTGCGCCTGCCACGAATTCTGCACTTCAAGAAACAACTGGAAACTCTAATCACAATGGAGGGACGATTCCGACCACGATCCGAGAATGGTCCGAGCATGACCCGAGCGTGACCCAAGACCGTCTCGCACACGTCGTTCCGCAAAGCTTGACTTGCCAGCTTCGGAGCCACCCTTTCTATTGAAAAACGCAGCATTTCGTGCGTCGGCTATCTCTCGAAAACGCAGTTTGTGTTGCGCCTGCCACGAAATCTGCACCTCGAGGTTCACAAAGTGCTGTGCCTGCCACGAACTCTGCACATGGAGGTTCACAAAGTGTTGTGTGCATTTCATGGCAGGCATCGCACTTTGTGAATGTGAAGATTCCGTGGCAGGCACAGCACTTTGTGAACCTCCATGCGCAGAGTTCGTGGCAGGCACAGCACTTTGTGAACCTCGAGGCACGCACAGCACTTTGTGAACCTCCATGCGCAGGCTGAGAACTGGTGACTTGGTAGTACAACTTTAGTACGCGGAGTAGGCTGGGGAGCTGGAAGCTGAGAACTGGCGACCTTGTAGTACAACTTCAGTACGCGGAGAAATCTGGCGAGGTGGAAGCTGAGAACTGGCGACTTTCTAGTACAACTTTAGTGCGTGGAGCAATCTGTGGAGCTGGAAGCTGAGAACTGGCGACTTTGTAGTACAACTTCAATACGCGGAGCAATCTGTGGAGCTGTAAGCTGAGAACTGGCGACTGCGTAGTACAACTTTAGTACGCGGAGTATCTGGGGAGCTGGAAGCTGAGAACTGGCGACTTTGTAGTTCAACTTTAGTACGCGGAGCAATCTGTGGAGCTGGAAGCTGAGAACTGGCGACTTTGTAGTACAACTTTAGTACGCGGAGTATCTGCGGAGCTGGAAGATGAGAACTGGCGACTTTGTAGTGCAACTTTAGTACGCGGAGCAACCTGTGGAGCTGGAAGCCGAGAACTGGCGACTGCGTAGTACAACTTTAGTACGCGGAGTATCTGGCAAGCTGGAAGATGAGAACTGGCGACTTTGTAGTATCACTTTAGTACGCGGAGCAATCTGTGGAGCAAACTGGCGACTTTGTAGTACAACTTTAGTACGCGGAGTATCTGGGGAGCTGGAAGATGATTGGCAGTACAACTTTAGTACGCGGAGCAATCTGGGGAGCTGGAAGCTGAGAACTGGCGACCTTGTAGTGCAACTTTAGTACGCGGAGTATCTGGGGAGCTGGAAGATGCGAACTGGCGACTTTCTAGTACAACTTTAGTACGCGGAGCAATCTGAGGAGCTGGAAGCTAAATTTGAGCTAATTAGCTTCGTGTCTAGACAAGCTATCACATCAAAGTTAACGTCTAGCTCCAGTTAGCTTTAGTGGGGCTAGAGCTAGAGCTATGCTTCACTCATCACTCATCACTCATGCGCCTGACTGAGGGACACGAGGGACACGCATGGTGGAAAGAACCGGGACTCTCCTAGAGGTCAATTTGTTCTTATAGGAAACTTCCGCCGCCGGCTTGCCCGGGAACTACTTGTAATGTTAGTTACGCTGCCCGAATGCATTGCATTATTGGAAACGTGTGCGTGTTTGCGCCTGAGCGCAACACGCCTAAGAGAGGTGTCAGTCTTCGCCGCGAAGCGGTGTGAATAACTTGCGTGGACCAATAGAAGCTAATTGATGTTGTTGCAACTTGGTCTAGCTCATTAGCTTCTTTGGTAATGAGTTCTGGAATTTTATGTAGATCTTGACGCTCTCAAGAAGGCAATGTAAAGAGATAGAAAACAACATAGCCCTTGTGAAGGTTGAAGCAGCTTCCTTTTGGTGCTCAATATTGAGCGCATTTGAAGAACAAAGGCAAGACATACGTTAACCCTATTGAAGCAATTAAAAGGCCTTTTGAAACTGCGAACAGCTTGCAGGAATGAATGCTGAGGGAGAGGAAGACGTTTAGCGACCCTGTCCGAAGCACAGTGGCTCCAGCGCTCGGCAAAAGCAGTCTTATAGACCTCGAAAAGTATGGAACTGTGCCAGGAAAGACATATTTTGAATAAAGACTATACAAATTACACCGGCATAGACCCAGATAGCTAGGCAGAATCCCACGACCTGTTGACATGCGACTGGCTGGAACAAGAATGTACGCAGCCTGCGCAGCCAGAATACGGCACCTCCACAGCGCGCACAATCAGCTGACACCAGCACCAGCACCGACACCCTTTCGAAAGCACGCGCAGCCAGCTCATTCTTATTTGCAGCAAGAGCCCCATAGCTAGCCCTATTTGGGGAATAACAACGTATGACCCTGCGCGTATAAGTTTATGCGCACAAAAGTATGCGCGCAAACAGCAAAGCCCGTATAAGTGTCATTGGCCCAATGCCAAGCAGTATCCAGCGCCACTATGTAGCATGCTTG